CGCCCCGCCCTGGCGGCCCTGGCCCTGGCCCCGGCCCGCGTCCGCGAAGACTTGGTGCCGCACACTCCGCAACCAGCTTCTGGGACGAGGCGCGTCACTGTCACACACACGCGCGCGCGCACCCCCCTTCCAGCCAAAGACCCGGCCCACTCGCTGCAGTGTTGGGTGGGTGGGTGCATCTGATGGCTTTCTCTCCCTCCTCATTCTAGGGCCCCTTTGCATCCCCAGAGCCAACCCGACCCTCCCCTGCGTGCCAGGCCGGGTCAGTTCTTGTCCCTTTGTGACTACCTCCCTTCACTCCCCCCTACCCCCACCCCGCTACTGCTCTGAGTTGGCCAGTCCCAGTTCTTTGGGCCAGAGGGAGAAAGGCGAGACATTAACTGAGCCTGTAGTATGCGCCTGGAGCTTTTACATGCACTAGTCCTTTGATCTCAGAGCAGCCCTGTCACCAGTTCATAGCCCCCTGAGGATCAGGGAACCAGAGGAGAAGGGGTTCAAACTCAGATTCCTGCTTCGAAAAACCCTGCCCCTAGTGGTGCTTAAACCTTCACCCCTTCTTGTCCAATCTGTTCCCGTCCCACCAAGGATCAGAACCTCTCCCCACTGCTCACCACTTTCCTGAGGGGTTTGCTTAAGAGGGGGCTGCTGGGCCCTGGGGAGACACTGCCACCCTTCCTCCCAGCCCAGAGCATCCCAGCTTACAAGCTTGCAGGGCCTGTGGGGATGAACCACGCGGATGATCTCCCCGGTGGGTATCAGCTCCACTTGCAGCGCCATTCTGCCTGTGGATAGCCAGCGTGCAGAGCACTGGGGCCTCTGAGCAAAAGCTTGCCTGCCTGCTTGCCCACTGGCTCTGGCTGCTCCCGGAGCCAGGAATCTGGTCTCACGCCGGGACGGCCACTTGGTTCAGCTTCAACTCCAGCCCCAGGGGATGTGTCTGGTCCAGCTCCTCAGGACACAGCTGGAGCAGCCCAGGTCTGATTGGGAGGCCTCTTGGCCCAGTGGGTTGGGGCAGGAAGAGGAGGGGCTGAGGGATGGAGGAAATGCCTGTTGTCCCAGGTAACCAGAGGAGCTGATGCAGTGCAGTCACCGTGGGGGACCCTGGGCTCCAGGTCAAAGGGTAGGAGGCTTTTCCCCCCAGCAGCTCCATGGCTGGCCTCTCTCGCTGCCCACTCACTGGTGAAAGCTGGAGAGCACAGTGACCACTCCCCAAACCACAACGCACATCCTGCCCTAAGCCAAGAGGATCCATCAATAGGCACTGCCCCTCCTGCATGCTCCCCAGCTTGCCTGCCTCCCACAGCAGCAAGTGAGCCCCTTGAGTTTGAGAGGCTAGGGCTGGTGGGGGCTGGCCATGTTGGGCAGAGGGGTTTAGCTGGAGAGGCAGGGGACACTCTGAGGAAGCCCCTGTCCCACCCTCCTCTGGAGCCACAAGCGCTTGGGAGGTTGGTCCCTGGGTTCCTTGGCTGTGGGCAGCCTTAGCTCTGTTCGCTTCTTGCTTTTCCATAGTACCCTCATGTGCCCCCTAACCAGCATGTTCCTGTTTTTCTGTCTTTATTGTTGCTAAATCACAGCTGACACTTTCCTGGCCTGGGACTGAGCCCTCTAGTCTCCAGCCATTCCTTATAGGAAGTGAGAAGGGGGAAGTGGATGAGGGAAAGCAACCTTTCCAGAGGGAGACACTGGCATAGGAGGGGCAGAGGCCAGTGGGCCTCTGCTGGCCTTGACAGCCCCTCGGGCAGGCATCTTCCCCCAGGCACCCTTCCCTTTCCTCCCCACAGCTTCCCCCGCCCAGGAAAGGCCAGCAAAGCTTCCTTCCTTCCTCCGGGAAGCACATCTATCCAAGGCAGGCTCATCCCCGGCAGCCACACAATGGCCCTTATCAGCCTCGGAGCCAGGCGCAGAGACCCAGCACACACGGAGTCTCACATATTTCCTGTTTCCACCCAGCGGGTCATGGCTGGGCCCAGAGCGGCCATATCCTGACTGGGGCCGAGAGGAGGGAGAGCACTCCCCCTTCCCCTTCCGCCTCTCAATCACTGCTGCACTCACCCCTCCCAGGCAAGGAGCGCCCTGCAACAGGAGGCGGGGTAGGGGTCTGTGAAGACTTAAGGGGGCAGGGGAGAGGTGGGCACGTGGAGGACAAAAATGCTCCACAGCAGGAGAAACGGGGGAGCCCTGGAGTCAGAAGCCCTGAGACCCAGCCCCAGGGCTACATTAATCAGAATGAGGAGGTAGGTATAGGATTGCTCTGTGTTTTTTGCAATTGTTCTCTCACAATAATCTTGTGAATAGGTTCATTATTTGTACTTTACAGACAACTGAGACTCCTATGTGGATAGAGATGGAACTGATTCAAACCCAGGTCTTGACCCCAGTCCTGTTTCTGGTCCTGCGTAACACCACAGCTGCCTGTGTAACTCCAGAGGGCTCATGCCACTTCTCTGAGATTTGGTTTCCCCATCTGCCAAACAAATGGTTGTGCACTTGAGAAGGAATGAGGTGGGCAAGTGCGAGGGCTCGGGGTTCCTCAGGTGTGTGTGTGTTGGGGACAGGGAGAGAGATTACAATGAGAACCTCGGGGTAGGGGGATCTGGGGAGAGGTGGCACAGAGAGAAAAGATGGTGACATTTTTGGATAGCTTAACCCAGGACCAGTGGTCAAGACTAAGGTGTGAGAGAGTGACAGGTAAGGAGGGATGGACCAGTGAGAGCAGAGTAAGCACCTTTTCCGAGTTCCAAGAAACCCATTCTATTTAGCAATGGAATAAACTAAGTGCCCAACAGCATAGGTGGCATGTCCCAACTGGGCCAGGGACCCAGAGGGCCACCATCCCAGAACCTCATCTCATTCCTACCCAGGCAACGTCTGTCACTCGCAGACACAGAAAGTCTAGTCTGGATCTACAGGGCCCTCGTCCTAGAGTCTAGCAAGGGCCCATCACCATGTGCCCCCTCCCACCACCATCATGAAGGAATCACAAACAAGTGTAAAAGCCATGTTTCTAATTATGCCCCAATGCAACAGACACAGAACACAGACAGCCACGGCCCTCTAAAGCCAAGGGGACAGTTCTAGATGGTACCCACAGCTCCCAGGGTGGAGTATGGAACGTACAGCAACTGGAGTGGCACTGTCTCAGATCATAGGATGGGCATGACCGTCACAGAGCGGGCTCCCTGAGGTGTCTTCTCCTGCGAGAAGGGCTGTTGAGTCGCCAGTGGCTGGAGGCAAGTGGTGGGAGTGCGGACAGACCTTGTCCACGCAGCACCTGGAGAATGCTCTCTGAAGACCCCCAGTGCCAGATTCTCCAAAATGTCTTGATTCTGGCTCTCCTCTCTGCCTGCCCCCACCTCTAGGTCCCAGAGCAGTCTAGATAGGTTTCTGGCCAATGACTGCAGGCAAGGGTACAGGCAGATGAGCTCAGCTGGGCAAGGACTATCTTGGAAAAGCCTGTGGCCACAGCTCCTCTACCACCTGGCCAACCCTTCACAAGAGGGCAGGTTGGGGGCATGGAGCCTGACCCACCAGCAGAAGTGAACCTGGGTCCAATTCTCTGTTCAGGCCCTGGAACTTTCTGGTTCATACTCCATGGGGGCGAGGGGGTGCTGGCAGAAGGACGCTCATCAACCTGTCCACAACCCTACCAAAGAGCCTGGGTAGAGGGACCCCTCATCCTGCCCACTTAGTCATACTGCTTCTGCTGAAAGCAAGGATCCCAGACCCTCTGCCCATCCCTCAGGGGGACAGGCAACAAAATGCCAAGACTCCTGGAACCCAGTGCTGCTTGTGCCAACCAGTCTATGGAGCCTGTACAAATGTATCTCCCCCTCCCAGGCAGCCTGAGGCCCAGGATGGCGTGACAAGAATGCAGGCCTGTGCCAGATGGGGCATGTGCCTGGCAGGCCTGCTTGGGCAGGACTAGGAGTGTGTGGGGGGAAAATCAAAAAAATGAGATGCAGGCTGGAGGGTCTTTCCCACATCTGGTGGACTGTCCACAAGTCTTCACTGTTGACAAACTAGCTGGTTTCACTCACATCTCAGTACCAAAAACCTGTATTTAAGAGGCTGATTCTAGAGATCTAGATTGGAGAGAGCAAAGGAGTGTGCTAGCGCTCCCCCTGGGAGGTGGAGGATACTTGCTCCCTCTTCAGAGGGCTGGGCTGGGTCCCCAGTGCTCCTGGCAGTGGTAGGCAGAGCTGGCTGCCAGCTCTGGCCTCCGCCCTGGATTTACTCGTCCCAGCTCAGAACTGTGGTTGGGCTTCATCCAGTAGATCCTCCCCAAAGAGCGAGCGAGGCCAGATCTGCAGGAATAAAGCAGGTGGTGAGCGGAAGGGAGAAGAGCAGGCTCTCCTCCGTGTCATCACTCCATTCCCCAACTGATGCGGCTCCACCATGTGGGCTGGCTCCTAGGCCTGTGGCCTCGGTGAACTGATGATGGGCTCACGTCATCTGTGATACCCTTCCCCTGACCCCACCAGCATCTCCTACCTTGAAGGGTTTGCTTATCCCCACCACAGAATGTAGACTGTTGCTATAGTAACAGAGGAGAAACTGATCCTCAGTCTCTGGGATATCGCTGATGTCCATGTATACCTGGAGCGGGGGATGGACAGGAATGGGGTCAGCTCCATGGCCCTGGGCCCCACCCAGCTCTCAATGACAAGTTATCCAGCTCTCTATTCCTTCCAGAAGACAGGAGTGCTCGGGCAAGCCCACCTGCTGGAAATGTGGAATACCTATCTCAGGAAGGGAGGCAGGTACCTGGTTCAGCCCGACACTGAAGGAGATCTGGTTGTCCCCGACCCAGACATAGGACACGTAGTCATTAATGTGGCGCAGTCCCACCTGTGGGAGGGAGGGTCGGGGGGTCAGTGGTCATGGAGGAGGTGGGACCTACGGCAAATCTGAAGGAGAGGATGGTCTCATTCCTAGGGCTGGCCATCATATTGGATGCCTCTCTCTCTTTCACTGCCAGCCTCTAGGTGGGCAACGACCCCTGGGGTGGACAAGGGTGAGTTCAGTCTCTGTGCCCAGTTCCCGTGAGCCCTCAGGATGGATCAATCAGAGGGGTGTGGCTCAGGGACTCCCTGCCTCGCCTGCCACATCACCTTATACAGTCCAATCCAGTCCCAGGGGCTGTTGAGGAAGCCTGGGGTCAAGGAGTAGCTGATCAACACGTCCTTCTCCATGGTCCACAGGCCCTCGGGCATCAGGGTGATCAGTGGTGCAGATACCAATGGCTTCAGCTATACACAGGGGTGGGAAGGGGGTTGAAATTCCATAGCATCATTCCTTTCTCTGAGGTGAATGTCTTTACTGTACCCTTCCAATAGGTCAGGGTCAGTGGGGGGAGGAGGGGCACCCAGCGGGGTGGGCACAGAACTCCACTAGGCTGTTCTGAGAAAGTATCGGACCTTGGTAGGCCAGCTGGAAAGAGAAAGGGCCCGAGGCTTGTCAGGGGTGGCTGGTCCTGCCACAGAGATGGGGCTGAGAGCCAAGTGGATAACCAAGCAGAAAGCTAAGTGCTGAGGGGTGAAGGTGGAGGAGAATGAGGGAGTTGCTCACAGGTTTAAGAAAGAAGCCAGGTAGCTGCTCTCAGGCCTCCAGGGCTCCTGACCCAAAGGCCCAAATCCAATTTTGCACGGTGGGGTGGGGGTGTGGTTCTGATGAGAACAGCTATAGGGATGTGGAAGGACACAATGGTGGAAAGACAGACAAACCAGCATGAAAAGGTGATGGCTGAGGGTAACCGGCAGCTGGAAGGTCAACACTGCCTTGGTCATTCGATGGCCAGATACAAGGATGGAGGGAGCTTCCTTTGCAACCCGATCCAGATACATTTAGGACAAATAAAAGGAAGTCCTGCTTCACTTAGTAGGTAATAAGCATAATGGAACTCATTTGCCCCAAGGGACAGTACCGAGAGGAAATGGAAACCTATTCACAAAGGGTCTGAACATGTTTTTGACAGACAGAGCCATCAACAGCTCCTAAGAAGAGCTGGGGTACCTGACCTGGGAGGAAAGGCAATTATGTCCTCCTGCAGGTCTCCCCTGGAGGATTTGCTGACATTAGAATCCAGGGCTAGAGGGTTTGGGGATGTGGCCCAGCATGGCTGCTCCTCTGCCAAGTGCTGGGCAGCCTGGCAGTTCACCTCCAAATCAAAGGTGCCGGTGACAGGCTTATGGTCACTGATGCTGTACATCATGTGGCTGACGTAGCTCCTCAGAGACAGGGAGAAGTTGGGGGCTGGCAGGCTGGGGGTGTGGGAGCTGTCCTGGGGCTGCTGCTTCAACCTCCACAGGATGCGGTCAGTCCATGCAGGCTTGCGTTTTTTCTCACTAGGTGTGGGAAGAGGAAGAATGGGAAGGGAAGAAATGGTTGGTAGGAGAGCAGGAAGGTAACCACATGAGCTTGCTGGAGCCCCTAACACCAGGGTCTGTCAGTGGCCGTGAGACCTGAGCTGGATCATGGCATGGCGCAGGCAGGAGGGTGCCCTACAGAACCAAAGGTACGCTGGCCTTTCTCGGACTCAGCCACGGACCCTCAGCCTCATCTACATTCTTACGAATCAAATGTGACTCAGAAACATCCCATTTCAAAGCTTTTCCTATATCTTAACAAAAGCAGCAGTAGATCAAAGAAGCTGAGATTTGGATTTTGAAGTTGGACAGATCTGACCTTGAATTTGGCTTCCCATTGACTAAAGGTGCTACCTTAGGAAGGGGAAGCATTTAGGGAATGCTCACCACAGGCCTGCGATCAGTACCCTTTATTTCACTCTTTACAGGTGGAGAAACTGAGTCTTAGAGGGGAAGTAACTTTCCCAAAGTCACACAGCTACTGAGCGGAGGAGCTACAATTTAGGGCCAGTCAGCATGACTGCACCAGGCCAACCCCTCTTGGGCCTCAGCTTTCTCATCTGTAAAATGGAGATAATTATAGTAGTTACCTCACAAGGTTGCTGAGATGATTAAATGAGATAAAGCACAAAAAAGGTTTAGCACAGTGCTTTGTACAAATAAGCTCTCTGTAGACACTGGCTATTATGATCGTTTGTTCTCAAGAGTCAGCTGAGACCTCCCACCTGTTCTTCATTTACCAACTTCCCTGAGGAGCCTGAGAGGCTGTACAGCCCCTGGAGACAAGAGTGCTTTCCTCCCCTAAGTAACTGTAGTTGCTCCCAGATAGGCAAGTCTCTGACTCCTTACCCAGCCCTGCCCAAGCTACTAGGTACTAGGGCACTCAGGTCCCGCTCTCCAAACAGAAACCCCTCCAAGTCCTGGAATGGGGGGCGGGAGTTACTGTTTCTGGGTTGCTCCCCCTTGGTTTTGAATGAACCCAAAGAGTAGTAAAGCCTGGTCACATGACTCCTTACTTTAAAACCTTCAAGCAGTCTTCATTGCCTCCAGAATACAGCTCGTCCCCAAGCATGGCTTTCAAGGTGCTCAGGAGTCTGACGCCCCTGTTCTACCTTATCTCCCACCACTGCCCCAGACCCTCTCCACCCTGGCCACTCTCTCAAGCCTCTGGACCTTCCCTCTTGCAGTTTTTGCTCCCTGGAACACCCTTCTTCACAGGGAGAGGCCCAATTCCAATACTGTCTTTGTCATAAAGTCGTCCCTGTCCTCTCCTTTTTGCTTCTAAAGCATTTTACACCAGTACTTTTTTTTGGTGAGGAAGAGTCCCCCTGAGCTAACATCTGTTGCCAATCTTCCTTTTTTTTTTTTTTGGCTTGAAGAAGATTAGCCCTGAGCTAACATCTGTGCCAGTCTTCCTTTATTTTGTATGTGGCATGCCTCCACAGCATGGCTGATGAGTGGAATAGGTCCGTGCCCAGGATCCGAATCCACAAACCTGGACCACAGAAGCAGAAGGTGTGGAACTTGAACTACTCAGCCATGGGGCCAGCCCTACACCAGTACTCTTGCAATTCCTTTATATTGTAGTTTCCTATTTCTCGTTGGCATATCAATTGGTGTGTAAACTCGGAAGGCATGGACTGGCTCTTGGAGTCTCCTGTGTATCCTCTGCCTGAACACAGAGCCTGGCACATAGTAGGTATTCAACAACCACTTGTGAAACCCAGACTAACTAGAAAACCCCAAGATCTCTCCTGAAAAATGTGCATCTAATCTTAATGTATACAGTTTCATATGCTTATGATCAGTTTGAAATGCTATTTTTGTCTTTTGCTTTATTCAATTACTATTTTTATTTATTTTTTTTGTGAGGACCATCAGCCCTGAGCTAACATCCATGCCAATCCTCCTCTTTTTGCTGAGGAAGACTGGCCCTAAGCTAATATCTATTGCCAATCCTCCTCCTTTTTTTCCCCAAAGCCCCAGTAGATAGTCTATGTCATAGCTGCACATCCTCTAGTTGCTGTACGTGGGACGCCACCTCAGCATGGCTGGAGAAGCAGTGCATCGGTGCGCGCCCGGGATCCAAACCTGGGCCGCCAGTAGCGGAGTGCGTGCTCTTAACCGCTAAGACACGGGGCTGGCCCCTCAATTACTATTTTAAATAAAAATTTCTGACATCCTGTTGTCACAACAGCAATAGTTTTCCAGCAATTGAGGCAGATGGTGTCTCGGTGGTGAATTCTGATTCTAGAATCAGAGACCAGTCAGGCGAAGGTTCTACCCTGCTAATTAAGAGCTGTGATTCTGGGTTTGTGACCATGTGCAGATTTGGGGAGAGTGTGGCGCCTGGGGAGGGCATGGAAGTTCCTTCCCATTTCCCCATACCTTGTCCTATGCATCTCTTCCATCTGCCTGTTCCTGAGTTATATCCTTTTATAATAAACCGGTAATCTAGTTTAAAAAAAAGCTGTGTGTCCTTGGGCAAGTGACTTCACCGCTGCAAGCCTCAGTTTCTTCAACTCTAAAATGAGGTGATAACAGTACTTACTTCAAAGAGCCATTGCAAGGATTAACTAAATTAAGGTGCATCAAGGGAGTGGTCAAGAAGAGGTAAGTGGCTAAACCATATCTGCTTGGGGCTCCTTGGGTTGTTTCAACCTTTCACTCTTCTGAGCAGTGTTCGGAGGACATCAGAATATGGTATTTCCAACCCAGAGACAACAGACACTGAATCGCTGAACCAACCTTGGACATTCAGTGCCTAGCAATGCTTAAAACTTGGTGATGAACCATACGAAAGTACCACTCTCCCTTTCAAAGCATCCCCCCTCCCCAACTTCCCTATTATGGTTAAGAGCCCATACTTGCTGTCACGTCAGGATCTTCCCCAAGTCCTGACCACAGCCTGTCTCTCCTTCCTCCTCAGTACCTCTTGGCCTGTCTCCCTCTCCTCCTTTTCCACGGCCTGGTCCAGGCTCGTCACTGGGTACCTATACTATTCATTCTTTCAACAAGATTTACTAAGCCCTTATTATACACCAGGCAACTGGGGATCTGAAAAATGGGATTGACAAGGTCCTTGAGGAGCTTGTTTGACAAGCAAAAAACAAGAAATAAGCAAAATAAGTACATACAAATTAAATATTACAAATATTTCCCTAGTTCTCCACTTCTAACAATAATAATAGCTAAACATGGGGTCCTTCTGTGCATCAGCCACCATGATAGGTGTGTCATAGACAGTTCTAATCCTTCCAACACTGAAGAAGGTTACAGGTCACATTTTTCTCCTTCTACAGGATACTGAAGTTCAGAGAGGTCACCCTGTCCAGGTGGAAGCTGGATGCTTGCCCAGGTTTGCCGACTATGAAGTCCATGCCCCTACCTGCATTCCACTGTCTCCTCTAGCTTGCCCTGTGGCCAATTCCCAGCAGCCAGAACTGTCTCATAGTGTGTACTACCAGAACAGGACCTCACTAATGCTTTTTAGCTGAAGGGTTGTGACAGTATAAGAATTGCTCCTGGAGATTAGTGTGTCTTTACTTTCAAAAAATTAAAACTGAGTAGCTCTGTACGATTCTCTTGGCTTAAGAGCCTAGAAAACGGAGGCAATTTACTGACCCCAAAGTAGTGATGTGTTCTATTTCTGGGTCTGAAAGTACTTTAACTTCAGCTCCCTGTAGATGGCTTCTAAGTGTCTTATTGAACTCTGGACACGAGTCTTGACTAGATTGATCATAATATCCTCTGCTCATTGCCTAGCAGAGAGGCTGACAGGGTTCACGTCGACTGTAACAAAACACCATTGCAATCCCTGACTTTAACAGGATTTCCCGCCCTGAGCCCTTTCACCCTCCCCTGTAATGGAGTGACCTCGTTTCTCATTACATCTTGGCTCGGGGACACTGCTGTGGCTGGGCAAAGCTGCATACCATGCCCTGCACACAACTCACTTGCAGTTACTTTGTACAGCTGGGTCAGGCTCCACTCAAGGTGCCTCTCATCAGTGCTGCTGACTGACTGGAATGCCTGCCCTTTCTGCTCAACTTGACAACTTGCGACCTCCTTGACAACAACTCTCACTGACTCCTCCAGGCTTCAGCTGCCCATCTCCTTACCATTCGTTTCAACCTCCTTTTGTACTTCCACACAGCATTCTTGAATCTTCTATTGGCCAACTCCTGGACTTGACAGTGTTTATTTGGATCTCTTGCTACGGATGGGTCCCTCTACTAGACTGGCTGCTCCTAGACATGTCTTTTCCTTTTATCCTCTCAGACTCTTAATTCAAACATATGCCAGGCACAATGCTACATAGCAGGGATGATCATAAATCAGATCCTGTCTCTGTGCTCTAGGCATTCATAATACAGCAGAAAAGGCACACTGTGTCTTAAAACCAACACTGAAAGCATGGTGTATGCAAGGCTTACAGGCAGCATAAGGGTAGGAGAGAACTCACAGAGAGATGAGGAAACGTCAGGGAAGGCTTTCTAGTAAAGATGGTGTCTGAACTGGGTTTTCAAGGATGAATAACAGTCTGATTAGACAGGAATGTTTGTTTCCTATGAGGGGCTCAGGCCCTGCCCACCGCAGGAACTCCCAGCTGCCTCTGGACCACGGCCCCAGTGGGAATATTTCAGTTATGATATCCCCCTGTAATGTCCCCTGTTCCCGTCCAGACATTCCTTCATTTCCTGGGCTCCAGGCAAGGAGAAGTGCACGGGTCTGGAGTCACACAGACTCGAGTTCAAATTCTTGCTCAATCACTTAGTCTTCTATTACCTTACTTAGATATTCTGAGACTCAGTTTCCTTTTTTGTAAAGGGTAAATAACAACAGTGTCTACCTAATGAGGATACGATATGAATTAAGTGAAGTGATGCAGGCAAAGCCCTTTGCACAATACCTGGCATGTGGTAAGTGCTCAATAATGTCAATCACAACGTGGATTATATCTTTACATGGAAATAAGTATCTGCTTCCTCCTTATCAAGCTTTTGCTGTCCTGATCCTGCCTTCCTTTTTGCTGCTGCTGGCAACACTGGCTGTGAATTCAGAGGCACTGTGGGCTAGAGGAAAGTGTCGTGGGCCACAAAGTCCACAGGATCAGGTCTGAGCCCCAGCTCCACCACCATGAGCTGAGCCAGCCAGGGAGGTCCTTTAACATCTCAGAGCATCTCTACCCAATCCCAGTCCCTGCCAACTCCAGCCTAGACCCAGCTGTTTGCAATGACTTCCAGTCTCCTGGTGGTTTCCCTATCATACCTGAGAGTGGGGGCAAAAGGACACCTGGCCAGAGTGAGGTTTTGAAGTCAATTGGTAGAGGGTCCCACCCCCAAGGCCCCAGCCTGTCCCACTGAGGCCTTATAATTGCCCTGATGACTCTCATTTCCAATGGATGGTTGGGGAGACTAGCAGTCTCCCTGCAGCTGTGGACCCAGGCCAGCTGGTCAGCAGGAGCCTGCCCTCTTACCTCCTTTCTGGTCTGTTCTTATGCCCAGGCTGGACCCCGTTTCCAGTGTTCATGGCCTCGTCTTGTGTGCACTGCCCTGACTATGACCCCACTCCATCTTGCTTCACACTCTTGAAATGGCTTACCCTCTTCCCCCTTCTTTGGCGGGGACGCTGTGGCTCTGACATACCACTTCCAGTACTGGGCCAGCAGTTCTACCTCCCACCCTGGCCTGGCTGTGGAGATACCTATTCCCCTCCCTAAATCCCAGAGGCCTGGGCTGCCCTACCTCCCTCATAAGACAGTCCTGCTAGGAGGAATAAATGAAGGAGCTGCTCCAGGTAAAACAAAAAGCCCCATTACATGTAAGAGATTCTTCTTTTTCTTCAAAGAGATGAGGATCCTTGCCCTAAATTGGGCCAGAGACCTCTTGCCAGAGCTGCTTTTGCTCCTCTGCCTAAGCCTAAGGTGTTGGTGGTTACCTGGCCCCTTCTCAGCTTTTTAGAAAGGTTTTCAGTAAAACTACCACCTGAAGACATGAATCTGAAAATAACAACAGCAGGTATCACAGTGCTTCCCAGGTGCCAGGCACTGGGCTAAACATATGCAAGGTCTCATTCAATCCTCAACCCCATGAGATGGATACTGTTATTACCCCCATTTTATAGATGACAAAATTGAGTTTTAAATACCTTGTCCAAGGTCACACAGCTGATGAGGGGCAGAGCTGTGCTTCTAACTACTAGATGCACTGTTTCTATATTGGTCCCCATGAAATTCTCCATTGACGACTACTACTTCATCTTCCTAAATAGTACCTGACCCACTCACAGCTGGGGCAGGGGGATTTAATACCACTAACTGGCTGAGGCAAGCTTTCTGCCCCTGTCTGTGGAGGACCAGAAAGCCCTGGGGAGTGGGGGCAGGGGTTCCCAGAATGCTGAAGTGCAGTCCCTCCCAGGTCAGGAATCAGCTGCCTCCCCCTTCTCCTCGGGCCCTACCTGCGCCATCCCCCACCCCCACTCTTGCCAGTGTTGCCTCCGCTTCCTGCTCTGAGGATAATCTGGGACAGCTCCCACAGTCAGCACGTCATGAGGGGGCAGGAGGCGCCACTCCTGAGAGGTGATGGCTGGACTTATTCCTGCTTCCCTAACACTTCTATTTTGAGGCAGCTCCCACTGCTACTAGGGCCAACACAATTTGATTTCCCAGGCCTCTGGGCCCCTCTTTTCCTCCTCACAAGCTAATTCCAGATCCATGGCAGGCTGATCCTCTTCTGGTGGAGCCCCCTCACCTGGTGTCATAGTTGTTGGAGTTCTTATCAAACTTGTAAGTGGGCGGGAAGAGCAGGGGGCCCTCCTGGAACTGCCGGAGCAGCGGGTCGTGTCTCTTGGCAATGGTGAGCTGTAGAGAAAGGCACAGTCCCATCTCCCAGTAGTCCTGACCCAGTGGCCCAGCACCACACTCCATTCAAGGGATCAGCACATGCCATCATGGCGGGGCAAGAGTCAAGCAACACCACCTCACTTCTTCACTGCCCCAGTGGCAGCCTCAGCACCCCATCCCCAACCCACCCCCAGGAGAGCAGCTGAATCCTTTTGCAAACATTACCCCACAGTCCCGGGGGGGAAGGAGGTGGGATTGGGGGGCACACTGGGGGGTGGGCGGGGCAACTGCCTGCCATTTCCCAGTCCTTGGACTATAGGGACTAGGCTTTGAATTCCACTTCTCTGGGAGCCCCTAGCAGACACGTATCAGAGGGGAAGCTGGGGTAGCCAGGGTCCCCCAAAGGGTGGTATCTCATCCTCCACGAGGCAAGCAAGCCTGGGGATGGGCAAGACAATAGGGATACAAGAGGCTTGGTGCGTGGTGCAGGGCCACGGCAGGCAAAGCCCTTCCTGGCTCCCTGTTCCAGCGCATACCCAGCAGCTGTCCCCTAGGTCCTCCAGGTGAAGACCAGGCCCTGACAGAACTGGTTGCCCCACCCCCAGCTGCGAAGCCCTCTAAGCTTCCTCCTTGCCAGGGAACAGGGACTTCAGAGGCCTGGGAGAGGAGAACAGGTGCTAGGGAACTTGAGCAATGCTCCCCAAATTTCACACTAGACCTCCACCACAGGCTCAGATCCCCCACTGGATCCTCCCATCACTCGATACCTGATCCTTCTCCCACAGGGTACTGTAGGATCGATATTTTATGGATTCCCGAACAGAGTGCAACCCCAAGTCCTCGATCCGAAAGTTCATGTCTCCAAACCAGAGAATGAGGCTTCAGAAAGAAAGGAAGGCAGCCTGAGGGTCTGTGATGAAGTCAGGGACAGGAAGAGCAACAGGTGGCTCATGCCTGCTCATTCCAGGGGTGCTGGAGCGGGAAGCTTGAGGGGGCAGGTGAGAAGCCAGATACTGGGAGAGGATCAGGTGAACACAAGGGCATGGGGCCAATGGGACTATACTCATGGCCTCTCCCCGACCATTTAAGCCCAAGAGACCAGCCCCACGGGGCAAGTGGCAAATAGGGAGCAGGCTCTAGCCCTCCTTCCCTCTCTCTCAACTGGCCACCAGACAAGACTGAGAACCAGCCTTTCAGACCTCAGGAACCATGGGGTTCTTAATCTGGGATGTTCGGAAGTGTCCAGGGTTTCTAGGCAAGACAGAGGGACCAGGGAAAGGGTCCTACACCCCAGGCAGGGATAGGAGAGCAGATGGGGCATCAGGAAAGAGGCTGGGAAGGGTGGGATACAGAGCACAAACTGCCTCCGGCTGGGGAACAGAGACTGGGCAGGGGACGCTAGCCTGGGTTGGCATCGGGGAGGGGGCAGAGGCAGCAGTTCACAACTGCACGCTCACTCATGGTCCAGGATATTGGGGATATCATGTCCCTCAAAATTCTGCATCTCCAGGATCCGGTCAAAGTGCTCCAGGCGCTGGTCATTGTTGTCCATGTGGGGGGGCAGGTGGCAGTTGATGATGCTGACATAGTAGCCGTAAAGCTTCAGGCAGATGTTGACACCCCCTTTGTTCCCCTGGTAGGACAGATGGGCAGAAGGGTGGGAAGCTGCTGTGGGTGGGACACACCTCTCTTTTCCCATCCTAGGCCTGAGGGGAGTTGGCCTCACCTCCCGCAGAATCTCCCAGGGCCAGACACTCAGCTTCCCAGAGTGACCTCTCCATCCAGAGCCTAACTCACCCAGCCTGAGGTCTCAGGGATGCTAAGCCCTCCTGAGGTGGGAGAGTGGGTATGCAGAACACTGGCCTAGACAGAGTGCCAAGATTCATTTCACCCCCTTTTTCATTTGTCCAGCTCTAAAGCCCCCAGCCCTTCCCAGCCCATGATAGGAGGCCTCCCAGCTCATGACCCAGACAACAGCTCAGTCCTTACCCAGTAACCAAAAAGGCCAGTGGGGGTGGATTTAGTAGAGAGGATCTGGATAAATGGCAAATGCTGAAGCTTGGCAAAGACCAGTAAGAGGAGCCCCTGCATGCGGACACTGGAGACCTGCAGGACAGGGGGGCAATGGTCATTCATTTCCCTTTACAGGCCACGTGTGTCCCTGCCAGGTCCTGTGCTAGGGGTTCTAGAGAGCCATGAGCCACACAGATACCCTGCCCCAGGGTCTATGGGATCTCAGTTCAAGTTTCATTCCCTTTAGCTGCCGAATGATGCATTCTGGGAGCTGAGCAAGTTTCAGTTTCTGTCCCTGGGCTTAGGGACGGAGGGCAGAGAAGACAAGGCTGCCGGGGCACCCTGCCACCAGGAAGGCATCAACTCTCCAGTCCCAGCCCCATGCATGCCTAGGTTGTCCTCTCACCGATGCCCTCTTGAGGTCCTATGGCTATGCTGGGCTGCCATCCCCATGGGCCAGCGCCTCAAAGAGGAATGCTGCTATACAGGATAGTGGCTAAGGGCACTGGCTTTGAAGTTAGCCAGATCTGGGGTCAAATCCCAGCTCTGTCTCTTAGTATTTGATACTGGGCAAGTCTCTCAGCCTATTTTCTCACTGCTAAAGTAGGAATCTATCTCATAGATGCTGGAAGGATTAACTGGCAGCTATTATTTTTTGGTTTAAGGATTCTTAAAACTAAATTCAGGGAAGGAACACGGGAGAGCCTTCTGGGGTGCTGGAAATATTCTGTATCTTGATTTGACTGGTGGTAAAATGGGTGTATATACATATAAAAATCCATCAAACTGTATACTTAATTTCTGCATACGTTACACCTGAGTGAAAAATAATTACAAAAATCCTTCTGAAAAATAATTATAGACTGTGAGCAGTTGGATGTCCCTGAAGGCAACACACTGGGGATGAGAATGAGTTCAGAGGACAAGTGTTCCCAGGGTGGGGAGAATAGCTACCATCTACTGAAGTGCTTCAGGTCGCATTTAATCTTCACACCAATCCTTTAAGGAAGCACTGTCCCTGTTTTGCAGATGGACTGAGGCTCAGGGAGACTAAGGAACCAGTAAAACTACCTGGATAAAGTCAGAAGACAAAGACTGCCAAAATCCCTGCTCTCTGCAGCCACAGAGGTGGGGTGGGAATCAGCTTTAGGCTGTCTACACCCACCACCCGAGTAGCTGTTTCCGGAGCATGAGGTGCAGAGGCCAAGGAGGAAATCCCCGGGTGGGGAGCATGTACTGGGGCCTTCCAGGAATTATGAAACTTGATCCTGCAGGCCAGGAGCTCTGGCAGGGTGGAAAAGTCAAAGCAGGGGGAACCCCAAGCCCAGGACCGAGTGAGGGAGGCGTGAGAACCTAGGGTTGGGCAGAGGTTGCTACAAATGTCCCCAACCCCACTCTCCACCCCCAGTCTTGGCCACTCCCCTTCACATGCATATGATGATGAAAATGGGGGAAGGGCTGGACTACGAGGGACTGACTCTCAGGGAACTGATAAAGCCTCAGGAAGAGTTTCAAGCTTAATCCTAACCCACAGAGCAGGTTTGGGCCACTGGGCTCCAACACAAAGGCACCAGTCTACTTTGTGAAGGAGTAGGGAAGTGGTGGGGCGGGAAGGACAGGGGTGGGGGTGGGGCAGGAAAACCTCACACTGGGAGAATGGGTGGGGCTGTGGGGAAAAGCAGGAGACTTGCAGGGGGAGTTCTAGTTGGAGGAAATTAAGTGGGAGGAGCTAAGGAACGGACTAGAGGGAAGCAGCTGGGGAGCCTTGGAACTGGCAAACAGGGTCAGCCCCAGGCTTCACAACCTGTGGCTGGCAAATTCCCATGCAAGGAACAAGCTGCAAGCAGGGCTCACCCCTTCACATCAATTCTTGGCTAGGGGAAAAAGGGTCATCTGCTTTGAGTGCTGGGTCCTCAGGCTGGCCTCCCAACCTCGGGAGGCCGCATGGGTAGAATGGATTGTGTCCATGCCACAAGCTGAGCTAATTTCCTTGGCTCAATTCCTTTCTACCAATCCCTTGCCAGTTAGCCGAGGTACAAGGAGGGCTCCAGTCTTGGGAAGGGAGTGGGTGGTAAGACAGAAGTGGTTCTGCCCTCCAAGAGGATCTAGCTCCAAGTCTGCAGAAAGAGGCCCAAGTTTAATCTGGAGGGAGCCAAGGGCTCAGTGGCTGGCTTGTTCCAGCCTCAGTAGCAGGAGCAAATCTTGTACTCCCTCCTCCCAGCTCTGCCCTCCTCAGGAGTACTCACAGTTCCTGCCTCAGCACCCTTAGACAAACTAGGGTAACAGAATTAATTCTGAAGAAATCCAGTCACCCAGGGAAGGGAATAGAGGAATGCTGGTATTTTCTAGAAGCACTGCACTAAGTGCTTTGAATGGGAGTGTTTCATCCCTCAGCTTGCAGGGCAGAAAGGTGTAGATCTCGGAATCTGGGGTCTTTGTTTTTTGGTGAGGAAGATTGGCCCCGAGCTAACATCCATTGCCAATCCTCCTCTTTTTGCTTGAGGAAGACTGTCCCTGAGCTAACAGCTGTGCCAATCTTCCTCTATTTTGTATACGGGACGCCGCCACAGCATGGCTTGACGAGCGGTGTGTAGGTCTGTGCCCAGGATCGGAACCCACGAACTCCAGGCCACCAACGCGGAGCGTGTGAACTTAACCACTACGCCACTGGGCTGGCCCCTCCAGAGCCTTCTTGTGGATTCTCCTATGGTCTAAAGATTCCCCAAAGAATACTGGCCCTTCAGACTGAGAACCCTTTTCCTCCACACCTATCTCCCTTCTTCTAACTTCTGAGCCCCTGAGAATTTGAGGTGCATGTCCCCTGTGATCAGAGGACACTCTGATACCAGCAGGCTAGCCATGGGATACCTGTCAGCCTCAGAGCTCACCAGTATAGCAATAAAGTATGACATAGGTTATAAAGTTTGAAAGATCTGGATTCAAATTCCAGATAGCCTGTGTGACCTCTGAGTCTTGGTTTTATCTGTAAAATACCCATATTTCAAAAGAGTTCTTAAGATTTTTAAACAATATATATAAAGAGCTTATTTATAATGCTTAACACCAAGTAGACACTCGATAAATGGTAGCAATTATTATTATACTCAGAGATTTCAGGCTGAGCATGTGAGTAGAGATTAGAGGCTGGGGTGGGGTAGGCACTGAGGTGTTAATGAGCCCCCCTGCACCTCCCGAGGAATTCTCCTAATCTGAGAAATATCAAGGTATTAAACTAACTCCTCAGGTCCAAGCTCAGCTCCAGCTACCTTGGAAAGACACAAGGCAGGGAGGAGCCCCAGGGAGCCAGGGGCAACTGAGGTTTAGGCCTTTAAATAAACGGGAAGCAGCATAAAAGCCTGAGTGGGAGAACAAAGGACTAGGGGTTGGTGACAAGAGGTGAGACACATTTCCCAATCGCTCATGAACTTGTAAGTTACCTTGACGAAGCTCAGAGAGGAAAGCACATCCATGAAGAAACTGCTCCATGGGTCTTCGAAGGCAGTGTCAGAAAGAAGGCTCATGATCCCAGAGTTCATTTCCTGCAAACTGGCCACCCCAGGTCAGAGGCTCTCCCCCTGGCCTGGAGGGTACTGCCCCTGCCACAGACATTTAGTACTGCCCTCAACAGACTTTCATACCTTGGGTTTTCATGACCACGATCTCTCCCTCCCCTAGCTGCTGAGTGCTAACCCTTTGCCACTGCTGACCCAGGACAAGACACACCAACTGGCCCTGATGCAGGCTGAAAGCTCCTAGCCTTCAGCCTCCAGAGCGAGGGAGTAAAAGTTACAGCGGTTCCCCACAGGGACAACTTGGGACTGGTCAGGCTTACCTGATCTCAGATATAGGGATGGGTGAAGGCGCCCTGCAGACACCTACCCAATGACATACATGTCCAGTTTCAGGTTCTGGTTGTTCAGCTGAAGCAGACCATTGAGGTCTAGAGGGGGTGCTGCAGAAGCCACGTTCCACGTCACAACATGTATGCTGTGGAAGGGATGCAAAGGGAGGTCATGGAGGAAGGAGGATAAGACCTTGTGCAGGTAATGGACAGGGGTCTAGCTGTGCTAATGGCCGCACCACAATCCACTGCAATCATAACAGGAAATGCAAGTTTCTACATCTGGTGGTGGGAATAGGACCACTGAACTACAAGCCCTATGTCTTCACCTCTGTCCTCTGAAGCAGGAAATTCCCACCTTGGATTGGCTCCTCTATGCATGCCCACAGCTGCTCACACCTGGCAGCACTGGTGCTGCTGACATTAGGACAGCTGCCAAAGTGGGCCCAAAGGTTTAGGGTCAGGCAAGGGAAAGGGTGGAGATGGGGTGGATAGTCAGGAATTTATTAATTCCACCAGCCATTCACATCTCAGCGATCATCTATGGCTCAGTCAACAACTTCCCACCCCCCCATCCCTCAACCCACAGGTTCCTAAGACCACCACAAAGATTCTGCAGGTTCAGTTTTCACCTTGTGAGAGGCCTCAGCACTACAAGACAGGGGAATTTCAAAAATAACAGAGATAACAACACCACATTCCCTTCCTCACTCCTTCCTAGCAGATCCCTGGAGCACAACCAGTTCTGCCATGCATTTCAGAGAGTCTAAGGAAAAGATTCTAAATAACAAGTTTCTTAACATGGCTCTCAAGAGTCTATCCCCTTTTGGGAAAAGTCATCAGCTGGATAACATCCTCTACCTCGGCTTCATATAAGCCCTAGGGAAGCAACAGAACTTGACCAGCAGCTCTCAACAACACAGGATCCTGTCAGGCTCAGGGGAAGAAAAGACTTGCAGATCTCTTCAATTGAATATTTACAGCAACACTCCAAGGAAGCCCCAGACTGCTGCATATGGAGCAGGTGGGAGCTACAAACCCTGCAGAGACCAAGAACAGCCACCAAGCCTCAGGTGAGTCCTAGGTACACCATGAGGAGGACCTGAAGCAGCAGCAGATCTAGAATGGGAGAGGGTACCGGGGGGCGGGAGAGGTGGGAGAAAAGGGCAGGATGTCCCAAAACATCTCTTCTCCACCAGACTCTGTTCTTAGAGGTCCATGTTCTAAAAAGCACAATTTGAAGAAATTCTTGCCCAGCTTAAAGCAACTTCCTGCCTCTCCCTATGAAGATCAACAAAATACAAAAACCACCTTCCCAGGCACTCGCCCAGAGATTCTGTGCTTCGTTTGTTTATGATCTCCCCCTGCTGTCCAACAGAGAATTAAGGAAGGCGGCCCTTTACTCCAAGGCTTCTTGTTTTCCCAGGGACCTGCTCTAAGCGGATGGACAGCAAAAGTCGGGATTTCTTGCCCTCACTCTCAGGGCCGACGATTAGCAGCAAATCCTTGCATTGTGACCTGCACTAAGTTAGTGATTAGCGTTGTTCCTCGTTAAAGAGCAAGCATGGAACCAGGCTATACCACTTCACTAAAGGATCTTATCTAAATCTGATTTCGGATTTCAGGGCAGATCCCATGATGTACATGCTGACCAAAAAGTAAGAACCAGATTTCTACTCTAGGGGGCCAGCCCCGTCGCGTAGCGGTTAAGTGCGCGTGCTCCGCTGCTGGCGACCTGGTTTCGGATCCTGGGCGCGCACCGATGGACCACTTGTCAGGCCATGCTGTGGCAGCATCCCATATAAAGTAGAGGAAGATGGGCACAGATATTAGCCCAGGGCCAGTCTTCCTCAGCAAAAAGAGGGGGATTGGCATGGATGTTAGCTCAGAGCTGATCTTCCTCACACACACACACACACACGATTTCTACTCTAGAGCTGAGGACAGAATGTCTTTAACTCCAGACAGCCCAACACTGCTGCCTCCTCCAGAAGCCAACTCTAACACCCGCTTGGGGCCCCCAAGTGGGAACGAGCTCGGTGGCCTGAGTGTAGATGGGGCGCGGGGCTTGGGCCAAACATACCCGCTCGACACTGGCCTGGGAGAATCTGGGAGGGCCTCTGAACTAGCAGCAGCCCTGTAGGCCCGGTCCCTTCTCTCCCAGTCTGGTTCTGCCCCAGATCCGCAGCCCCGACTGAGTCAGAGGCAGTGGTCCCGGTCAGAGGTAGTGGTCCCGCCGGAGCGGACCGGCATGCCTGCAGCCGCCCTCCTCACCTGAGCTGGCTGACTCTCGGTTCGGTCCGCTTCCATGGGCTCACGGCCTCCATCGTCCCCACCCGGTGGCCCGGCCGGCTCGCGTGTCCCGGCCCCGGTCGGGCAGCACGTCCTGGTCGGCTCACGCTCGCCGGATTGTTTTCCTTCCGGATCTGACCCTCCGCCTCGGCCTCCGTCAGAGGCGGGGCCTGAGCGCACGGAGGGCCCTGGGTGGTGCGCCCGGGGGAAGAGGCGGGACTCTCTGACCAGCGCGAAGCGGCCCAAGGCTGAAAGGGGCTCAGGGAACCCGGGACGTCAGAGAGGCGTGTCTCCGTGTCATCGGAACCCCGACGCAACACTGCCCCACCGGCGCGCGCGGGGCGCGGCCTAGGCGCCGAAGCCTCGAGCGCCTCTGCCACCGCCGCGGCTCCCAGGGTGCCCCGCGCGAGGCCGGCCGGGAGGGGCCGTCTTCCGGCTTCCGCCGCCACGCCCGAAGGGGTATTCACGGCCCTGTCCCGTTTCACTAATACCGAGTCTGAGGCCTCCGGCCTCTGCGCTGTCTCCCTCCAGCGTCCCAACGCCCAGAGGCCCAAAGGGCGAAGGGAGGAGTGGTAGTCCAGGCCACTGTCCTGCCTGTAGACCAGTCTCTTCCCCCCCCACCTACAGGTAATCTCTCTCGTCTTGGCCACAGAGCTCCTCCTTTCCTAGTTCGCCACTCCCACTTTCAAGTGTTTTTCGCTTTTCAAACTCATTCAAACTATTTCACGTTGGACGTTTGGGGGTTCCTGGACTCGTAGAACATTAGCCAGCAATGAAGGAAAAATAAGTCACTGCCTCTATTTTACTACCAAACATGAAATGAAGGTTATTTACTTTGCCAAAGATTAACTATGATTTCCTTCAAATCACGGGTTCTTAATCTTTTTTTTTTTGGCGGGGGTTGGAGGATGCATGGGATTCCTTTGAGGATTTGATGAGAGCTATGACTCTCCAGAAAAATGCACACACAATTTTACAAACAAGCTTCATGAGATTCAGAGACCCAGAAGCCAGGTTAAGAATGCCTACTTAAAATGTTTTGTTTGGTAGGATGGGAAAAAGAGGGAGACGTGAAGAGGAGGGGAGCCAAAAGCAAAAAGGAAATACTGCCAGTACAAAGTGGCCAAATTACTGAGAGATACGTGATGTCTGCATGAGTAAAATGACAAGGGGATGTCTTAATGTACAGAAGTTCACTTGCAAAATTTTTCAGAGACATCTTATCCTTTCCCTAATCCTTCCCTGGTAAAATGGGGGACATCAGCAAGAGTCTGAGGATATCTAAGTTGTAAAATGGGTATAAGGACATCACCAATAAGCTGGACTCCAGAAAGCTCTGTCTAGGATTTTATTAGACTGCTTTTTTCCCCAATATACCTGTATTGGAAGATTGAGACAAAAAGGCACAAACTCACATTAAATAAACAAGGTAATCTAATCAATTCTACAAAGTGTATTTTGTAAAAGAAGTAGCACTAGGAACCAACCAAAATAAGTCAGGGAGTCCCAGCAGGGACTGTAAGAGAACTTGGGAAGATATACACATGCCCACAATACTGACCCTGTCCCTGACCTCTCTCTGCGAGAAGGCCAGAGCCCAGCACCCCTCCTACAGAGGCACTGCTGCTTCCAACTGAGACCATGACCCCAGAAATCTAATGGAAGCAGCTGGTCTGAAGGGGCGTGGCACATCCTCAGGTACTAGCCCTGGAGCTGAGCCTTTCATCATAAGCCTCTCTGAGTGCTAGTCAGTTTGGGGGGTGGGTGAGGAGGGAAGGGGAGTACTTAAAAGAAGCCAACACTGTTGCCCAGCAGCAACACTATCCATGGGTACGGAATAAACCAGGGACATCCCTCCTTATGTTTATGTGGGCTGGAGCCCCAGATCCAGCTGACCTAAGGAAATTCTAGCTCAGCTTCTGTGGATGCTTTCAAACTGGGGCAACAGGTGGAGGTGGGAGGAGCCAGAGAAAAGGCAGATAAAGAGCGAGCCCCGACTAGAGCTGAAGTGATACGTGTGGATCTCAGAGAAGAGCTGAAGGAAGGTGACCAAGATCTGCTGACTCTCAAACCACATAAACAACTGTCTGCTTAGAATATCACCATTTGTATCTCCCAGGATAACCACATGTGGACTTCAGTTGATGAATGAAGAAGGGAAAGCTTTAAGCACAAATATAATTATAGCTAATATAGAGCTTGTAGGAAAACATTTACATTTTTCTCCAGTAGGAATGCCTCCTCAACTTTCTCAGTCAAATAAAGGCTACTAGCAGTTCGGATGCTAATAACCAACTGAATTGACCCAGATCCATTACTATAGACCCCACAAGGTGAGGAGACCAAAAGGAAGGTGTAACAGGACATCTCCTGGTCCCAAAGGGGCCTCAATGAAGGTCGGAGCTAACCACCTGAGGGGTCTGAGTCTGTCCACTCTTGCCCCAGGAGGGCCACAGGGAAGCATCCATTAGGATGTCACACTGTGAGACACTCCCTTATTGCACTTAGAAATGAGTAAGGCAAAACAAACAGGCAAAAACATAAGGATAAATTCTCCCATCCTATTTCTCGCTCCCCCAACAGAGATTTGGTCTCTCTCAGTAGCAGCTGAGCCCAGGCTAGCATGGGCTCGGATCACTGCACGTCAGCCAATACCCTTCACAGGGTTTGGGAAATGTCAGGTGAAACCACAGCTATCTCAGATTTTCCCACCACGAAGGCATACTCAGATTCTGCCAAGTCGTAGGAAACTATGCAGCACTCAGCTGCTTCTATTCCCCTGGAGCCTGGACTTTCTCACTGGCCCACTCTGGTAGAGTTCTGCACTACAATCACTACTTGCTTTTGATTATCCAGGACAGAACTCAGCATGGGGGCAGGATGGGCTGAGTTCTTGATCCCCAAATTCCTTTAGCAACTGGAGACAAGAGGGAACATGTTCTGCTGGAAAGAAGCTTTTTGCATGCTCATTTTGTGCAGCATGAAAAGATCAAGACTCGTGTGTCCTGACCAGCCTCAAAGACAGAGGACAGGAATCTAAGAAAGCACAGAGAAAGGAGGATTATTGCTGAGTGGCAGCACCAGCCCAAAAGGGAAGAGGAGCATGGACATACAGAGCTCCTCGGGGGGCAGACTAATTACATGGGGCAGACTCAATTCTAAGGGCCACACTGGGCAGGTTCCTCCAGGCGGAGAGTTGACCCAGGCATATTATGGGCTCTGCAGAGATTCAGAGAGAGTGGGCAACAGGAGGGCCGAGAAGCCATAGGTGTTTCTAAGAATAGTGACCAGAGATGCAATGCCTGGGGCAGGGGTTATTTGTATATGTTAAATTTTCAAGTGTGGGTGGTGGGTACTTCCTTGGTGCCTAGAGTGCTCTAACAATGGGTTACTGGGAGCAGAGGTCAGAGTTATGAAGCCACATTGCTGTTCTGTGGAACTGGGGAAAAAACCCTGTATTTCTAACTCATCCCCTCTCCCCAGGTGAGCACTCAAAATTGCAAAGATCTGCCCAGGCAGCAAAATACCTCAGTTTATCCCAAGGTTGAAAACAAACAAATCATTTAAATCACCACATCACAAAAGGCAGCTATTTTGAAAGACTAAAAATGTCACTTGGAAATAAAGGGGAGGGACACACAGAAATGGGTTGAGAACACAATGGTTGGAGAGGGAGGAGCTGTAAATACAGCAACCTACACGCCACATATCTCAGAGGAGCAGGCTCCCGCGCACACGGGCTTCATAATACCAGACGGTCTATTTGTTCACAATATTAAGGGGTATCTAGAATTAGCTACAGTAAGGGATCGAAAGTTGCCTGAAGAATGGGCACAGAAAGGCTGCGTCTGAAGATGGCCTGTCACTCGGGAGGGTGGAGCTGCTGGGCCTTCCTGTTGACCACTGTCTTGCAAAACTAGAAGAGAAATACAATTATTAAGGAAGCAACAAAGGAAAATAGAAACATATAAATCATCACTGATGGGGGAATTTCAAAAGGAGGAAGGATGCCAGTCAGAGTGGTGGGAGTAGAGGGGTGAGAGGAAGCTAAGGTCCAAGCAGTGACTGAGAAGCTGGTGCTGTGACAATCCACTAATCCTACCATTTTATCACCCAGTTCTCCTCAGGCACCCAGGGCAGGGAGAGCGAGTAGAGGTTCTCAGCATTGCTGGTGAGACCAGGCCTCCTTAGCGCTAGAGGACAGGCAGTTTTTATTTGATAAAATAATTTTCTCTCAGAGCCTGATAGGGAGCAGGGCCAGGTTTCTCATTCCATGACCAAGCCCACTCTGAGCAGCTGGAATAACAGCAAGTCTGGAGGTGTTCAGGGCACTGGGAGCTAATAGAAGGAAGGGGCTTGGGGAAGAGTAACAACCTGAGACACGGGACATCCCATCTTGGTCCTATGACCTGGGCAGAAATACCCTCCAAGCATCTGAAAGATGCTGCCTCTGATGAGGACAGCTACTTAGTATGGGATCAGGCGTATAAAGAGGAAGGAAATGAAGTACCAGACACGACAATGAAAGCTAGGAAAAGCTTTCTGGCCAGCAAATTTTCCAAGAGAGGGGCAGGGAATGCTAGCAGTTGGGAGCTAGGAACCGACTCTGGCACAGGGGGTGTTAGGGAGCACCCCAGAATGCCAGCTTCATCTGGAAATGGCTCAAGTTCTTAGAGGAAGAGTAATTCATTGCAGATAAGGTTCAATTCTGCATCTACCGCCCCCACCCCAGCGCCACTTCTCACCACCCTGTCCATGTCCCTGTCTGGGCGGTTCTTTATAAAATCACATGGCCCTGAAATGTCCTAATATTCATAACCTCTTTCAATGGAAGCCTGAGAGCTGTTTAGCATGGCAGTCATCATTATTACTAGAGGGCAAGACAAGGAATGAAGCAGGTTTTCTCACTCCATAGTGAGCTGCTGAGGCCTTGAGAACCCAAACTGATTTTAGCATCTATGACGTGCTCAGTCAGAAATTCAGTACATACAGTGCAGAAGGGGGAGGAGTGGCTTTAGTCATCTGCTGTCATTCCTTTCACTGGGTCCTTTTGTCTCATCTGGAACAGAAAAACCAGGAAATATTGAAGGCTCTTACCACTGATGGAACTCCACCACAAATATATTCCACCTTCTCCTCAATCCTCCCAATGGGTAGGGTAGAACATTTTTTGTGCACAAAGCAAATTGGAAGAACAGAATTCTGCATACATACAGCCAAAGCCATACCATTTACGGCCTATGTCACTGGTCCCACCACCCATGATTTCTTTTTCTCTCCCCTGTGTCCCAGTGTTGGGGTATAGTTCTTAAGCTGCTCTCTCTTTCAATCATTAATTCCACAAATATTTATGAAGCATCTCTCTTGTGCTAGCAACTGCTCCAGGCCTGAGGATTCAGCAGTGAACCAAAACAAAGTCTCTCTTCAAGGAGCTTACACTCTGGGGCAAGGTTGGGGAGAACAAATAAACTAACACATGTCAGGTGGGGCTGAGGGCTGCTGGGATAGAGAGCGACTAGAGAAGTGCTATTTTATAAGCTGGCTATGGAAGGCCGCTCCGATAAGTGATGTTTGAGTAGAGACCTGAAGAAAGTGAGGGGGAAAGTCCTGGGGCTCCACTGAGTGGGCTTGGGGGGAGCGTTCCAGGCAGAGGGAACAGCAATTCCCTCTCCTGAGCTCTGCTTAGAGGCTTCGCCCATCAATCAGGTGGGCACAGTGTGGCACCAGAGTTTGGCACAGGAACGCAGGGGTCGCAAGTGCAGCAGGGTAGAGCTCAGCTTTACAGAAGTGCAAGGCTGCTGGAAAAGAGGGTGGGTTCTTATCTGGGAGCACTGACTGGTCCCTGCCATGGCACCTTCCAAGCAGAAGTGGACAAAACTTCTTGTTGGGGACACTGTGGAGGTGATCTCTCTCTCAAATCCTTTCCAACTTGAAAATTCTATTCTATTTGCAGAATGTCTGTAACATATGTTGTGTTTTAACTTCACATCAGATATTTCTTCACCATCCATGAGTTTTCTGCTCAACTTTCATTCTTTATTCATTCAACAGATTTTGAGCACATAAGGGCATGACCCCTGGAATCCAACTGCCTGAATTGTATTCTGGCTCCATCACTAATTGTGTGACCTTGAGCAAGTTACTTCACTGCTCTCTAAGCCTCAATTTCTGTAATGATAAAATGAGATAATAATAGTACATATGCCATGGGGTTATTGTGAAGATTAAATAAAGATATTTGTGTAGAGTACTTAGCATAGCAGGGTCCTTGGCATGGAGTGTGCACTCTGTACATGTTATTTGTTATTTCTTTGTTCCAAACAGCGTCCTGTAGCAAAAGGGACGTATGTGTACACAAGCTCTGAAGAACCTGGACTTTTAAGATCCAGCCCTCCTTAGAGTTATGTTTTATTCACTAAAACTTTAATACTGCCACATTTTGCAGAGGTTCTATCTCAGTAGCAGTAGTTCTCCACTGGGAAACATTTTCAAAATACACTTCCTGACACATTTCAAACCCGTCTATTGTTCACACACTCCTATCCCCAACTCTTATAATCAGTAAGTCCATGTGGAACCTGGGCATGGTAAAAAAAATTCTCCCGGTCCTCCCCAGAGGTCCCGATATTCAACTCCCTATTGACAACTATTACCATAGTTACACCAAATGTCTTAGCTGGGTGTTTTAGGCCAGAGTTTCCTCAAACTTGATCAAATAATTGTCTGGGGCACTTCTTATAGATTCTTGTGCCCCAGACCTGATGAATCAGAACCTACAGGAGATGGACCATAAGTGAGTCATAGAATCAATCAGTCTTAGAAGCCTTACTTTTCTCTGTCCCCAGAAAAGATCCTCTGCTCCACACAGGAAAGTCTATTTTCCAACACCAAGCCAGTATGTGCTTATTCCTAGCTCTACCTGGAATGCCTGTCCCCTGTAGATTTTGCTCAAAACTCACCCTCCTGAATGATGTCTTTAAATTCTTATTGCTCCTCTAACTTCAGTTATCCATATTAATATCTGTTAATTATTACTTTATAAAGATTCAACAAATTCAAGATTTCCCAACATGACAGAAATATGTTAAGGATAAGGGCACTGTCATATTTTTAAAAAGACAAAAAGTTAACCTTGTGATGTTAGGTATGAATTGGAAGTATTTGTGTGAACAGAATATGTAAGATAGAGACATAGATGTACAAGTTCCCTAGCTCTGTCCTATAAGAAGGCCTGGGAGCAGCAACACCCCAACAGTAATAAGCACACCTAGCACCCAAACACCCCCCACCACTAAGAGGAACAGGGCTCCTTGGAGACACGGCTGATTCTAGGGCTGGGTTAGGGAAAGAACAAGACAAGCCCGGAACACTTGGTTGTACTTCAGGTGAACAAAGTAACTACAGAAAGTCAGATAGGGGGCCGGTCCTGTGGCGCAGCGGTTAAGTGCACGCACTCCACTGCTGGCGGCCCGGGTTCGGATCCTGGGTGCGCACCGACGCACCGCTTGTCAAGCCATGCTGTGGCGGCGTCCCATATAAAGTGGAGGAAGACGGGTATGGATATTAGCCCAGGGCCAGTCTTCCTCAGCAAAAAGAGGAGGATTGGCATGGATGTTAGCTCAGGGCTGATCTTCCTCACAAAAAATAAAAGAAAAGAAAGTCAGATAGGATACAAGGAAAAGAACACCCAACCTATGACATTCTAGCCTAAAATACATAAACTGCATCTAATCATGCAGAATCATTGGACAAACCCAAAGTGAAAGACATTCTACAAAATGAATAGCCTATAACCCTCAAAAATGTCAAAGTCATGGAAGCCTAGGAAAACTGAAGAATTGCACCAGATTGAAAGACACTAGAAGGGTGCAATGTATGATCCTGGGTTGTATCCTTTGCTTTAAAGAAATAAGGTCTCTGGGTAAAGGGGTATACAGGAGTCCTTTGTATTCTTCTTGCCATTTTCTCTAAGTTTGAAACTCTTTCAAAAAAAAAAATTTTTTTTTTTGTGAGGAAGATTGGCCCTGAGCTAACATCTGCCAATCCTCCTCTTTTTGCTGAGGAAGACTGGCCCTGGGCTAACATCCATGCCCATCTTCCTCCACTTTATATGGGACACCGCCACAACATGGCTTGACAAGCAGTGCATTGGTGCACGCCCAGGATCTGAACCGGTGAACCCCGGGCTGCCACAGCAGACCACGCACACTTTTTTTTTTTTTTTAAATTTTATTTATTTATTGTTTTTCCCCCAAAGCCCCAGTAGATAGTTGTATGTCATAGCTGCACATCCTTCTAGTTGCTGTATGTGGGACGCGGCCTCAACATGGCCGGAGAAGCGGTGCATCAGTGCGCGCCGGGATCTGAACCCGGGCCACCAGCAGCAGAGCGCGTGCACTTAACTGCTAAGCCACGGGGCCGGCCCCCAAAATAAATACTTTTTAAAAGACAAAAACGTGCTCATTAAATGTCTGCTTACTAATGACTATTCACATCAATTTTCAATAATCAGAGAGGCTAAGATTTTAATATCATGGGAGCAAAGCTCCTTGGGCCTCAACCAGATCCTTGTTATACCCTGAAAGCTCACTGCCTTGCTGTAATTTACTAATGCAAAGCCAGGTCCCGTTTTCCTACTGCTTGAAACAAGATGCAACTTCCTATCAGGGAACACGATGGCTTCCCCTACTCTTGGAGACAAGGTCTCCCCTAGAGGGTGCCACTGAAATAAAAACGCTTTATTTCATTCTTATAATGAAATGCTCTGAGAATGCTTATTTCCTGTTTCCTGGGGCCTAACCGACATGAGAGATTTTATCTGATGTTTGCAGTGTTTCTCAGATCAAGTCACTGCAGGCTATATATACACATACAGTCGAGGAACATGAAAATAGAAACTCCAGTCCTGGTTTGTTTGTTTTTAACAGTGGTTTCCTCCAGGGAATGAAGCCAGGGGTTGAAGGAGAGGGGCTTCTATTCATCTATTTATTTATTTGGACTTCTACTTTTTAATATTTTTCTATATCTTTTGAAAATTACTTTTACTATTAAGTATGAAATACTCTTTTTTTTTTTTAAGATTTTTTTTTTTTAATTTTTATTTATTTATTTATTTTTCCCCCAAAGCCCCAGTAGATGTATGTCACAGCTGCACATCCTTCTAGTTGCTGCATGTGGGACGCAGCCTCAGCATGGCCGGAGAAGCGGTGCGTCGGTGCGTGCCCGGGATCCGAACCCGGGCCGCCAGCAGCAGAGCGCGCGCACTTAACCGCCAAGCCACGGGGCCGCCCCATGAAATACTCTTTGATTTAAAAAAAACTCATAAAAGTATCAATGTCAATATCCTGGTTGTGATACTGTACTATAGTTTTGCAAGATGTTGTCATTGGGAGAAACGGACCTCTCTGTATTATTCCTTATAACTGCATATGAATCCTACAATAATCTCAATAAGTCCAATAAAAAAATAGTAAAAAAAAAATCAGTTTAAGACACTGAAAAGCAACTACAAACCAATTAGCAATCCTGAAGGAACACAGATATGAGGCACATGTGGAACTGTTTTTAGAACCTCTTTAGAAAGCCACTCTCTTTATAAATAGGTTCAGTCCTTTGGGGAATAAATTGGGCAATAAGTAACAAGAGTCTTAAATTCTCTAATTCCATTTGTAGGAATTTATTCTAAGGAAATAATCCTAATTACCCAAAAAACTGAGTGCACAAAAATTTTCACCACAGCATTATTTATAACAGCGAGAGAACCTGAAAACAACATGCAGGAAAATCCAACACGGGGTAATGACAGAGTATAGGGCAATATGTATCTTACAGTCAGAAACATGTGAGTGAAGAAATTTTTTTAGCTGGAAATGCTTTGTTATAATGTTCAGAAGAAAAAGTAAGATAACCACCTGGCACATGCAATACAATCATAACTTAGTAAAAGTGTATAGAAAGACTTAAAAGGTTTGTAATGGTTGTTTAATAGTTTAATGTTAAATGTTTAAATAGTGAGAGTACAAGTGACTTTTTTCTTTCTACTTTTCATTATTTTCCAAA